TATATACACAGGGTACCAGTACCGAGTTAATGTGCAGGGGTATGAGGTAATAACTTGGCTATATACACTGGGTACCTGTACCGATTCAATGTGCAGGGGTATGAGGTAATAACTTGGCTATATACACAGGGTACCAGTACCGAGTCAATGTGCAGGGGTATTAGGTAATAACTTGGCTATATACACAGGGTACCTGTACCGAGTCAATGTGCAGGGGTATGAGGTAATAAATTGGCTATATACACGGGGTACCAGTACCGAGTCAATGTGCAGGGGTATGAGGTAATAACTTGGCTATATACAAGGGGTACCTGTACCGAGTCAATGTGCAGGGGTATGAGGTAATAACTTGGCTATATACATGGGGTACGAGTACCGAGTCAATGTGCAGGGGTATTAGGTAATAACTTGGCTATATACACAGGGTACCTGTACCGAGTCAATTTGCAGGGGAATGAGGTAATAACTTGGCTATATACACGGGGTACCAGTACCGAGTCAATGTGCAGGGGTATGAGGTAATAACTTGGCTATATACAAGGGGTACCTGTACCGAGTCAATGTGCAGGGGTATGAGGTAATAACTTGGCTATATACACGGGGTACCAGTACCGAGTCAATGTGCAGGGGTATGAGGTAATACATTGGCTATATACAAGGGGTACCAGTACCGAGTCAATGTGCAGGGGTACGAGGTAATAACTTGGCTATATACACAGGGTACCTGTACCGAGTCAATGTGCAGGGGTATGAGGTAATAACTTGGCTATATACACGGGGTACCAGTACCGAGTCAATGTGCAGGGGTATGAGGTAATAACTTGGCTATATACACAGGGTACCAGTACCGAGTCAATGTGCAGGGGTATGAGGTAATAACTTGGCTATATACACAGGGTACCAGTACCGAGTCAATGTGCAGGGGTATGAGGTAATAACATGGCTATATACACGGGGTACCAGTACCGAGTCAATGTGCAGGAGTACGAGGTAATAACATGGCTATAAACACAGGGTACTATTGGTTTAGTATAGAGCCCTGTGGCTGGGGCAGAAACTGTGTGTGTGTCTATTGGTGTGGATGGCGGGCTAAACCGAAATGCCACGCTTCGGCCAAGTATTCGATTGTGGATCTGGTAGCATTTCGGAGAAAGGAGCCAGGTTTTGGATTGTGGATTTTGCTCAATGGCAAAGTTTATTTCTGGAGCTTGCCGCATGTGTTGTGTTTTGGGAGCCTCTGGCTGTCTGAACTCGGGCTCTCTGTGTGTGTGGATGGCTCGTTGGATGGTGTCTGGGGTACCGGGGGAGTTTTCTATAGAGCCTGCTTGTGGGCTAAATTGAAATGCTATGTTCTGGACTCGGTTATGGCTAGTAAATATCCTAAAGCTAGCCAGCTAGACAGTGATAGCCACAAGCTAAAACTGGGGAGAGAGGGAGGAGAGAATTCACTTTATTTTTCATCTGCTGCTGGCTTGATAATGTTCACGGAAATATGTTTTTCCACATGTAATAGATGAAGTTAGCTTTTTTTCTCTATATAGATTGTACTGTAATTGTGACAATGTTGTGAATATTGTCAAAATCCTCACAGCCATTTTCCATACTAAAAAGTGAAGCACAACTTGGTGTGCACCAGCTTACTATGTACAGTAGGCTACAGTAAGCTCACCATGTGAGTCATCAACATTACAATCTTTCGTTTGGGCCTTTCTCGCAGTTTTGTGTTTTTTATATGCAGGGAGCATACATTTTTAAAATGTAAACTAACAAATAATATTTCAAATTAGAACCCAATTATAATAGTTACTATACAGCACCAACTACATAAATATCTGTTAGGGTCCTTTATCTGCAACCTGGACTTTAATGAATCCGGTGACTGATGTTGTAAACTCCTCATTGCAATCGGATGTATCATGATACATATTCCAGTCTGTGCTAGTGAAACAGTCCTGTATCTTAGCATCAGCTTCATCGGACCACTTCCGTATTGAGCGCATCACTGGTACTTCCTGGTTGAGTTTTTGACTCTGAGTATGCTGTCTATCACTAGCAGCACCATATCACAAAGTAAAACTCTGAGTATGTTGTCTATCACTAGCAGCACCATATCACCAAGTAAAACAGAGTATGTGTAAATATACTTGGCGAATGAAGGTGATTCTGATTCTGACCATAATGCTTTGTCACTAACACAGGTCACCTACAATGCTGAGCCCAAAACAAACAGCAAAATAAAGGAAACGCTATAAAAACTTATAACATCTGATAAAGTTGTTTCTATAGATTGTGTGTATAAGATGTTTTCCCCTTTCAATTGTGTAAGTGCATCTATTATTCAGAGCAGTATGACATTGCATGTCAATCAGTCAATCACATATATTTATAAAGCCCTTTTTACATCAGCAGATGTCACAAAGTGCTAAACAGAAACCCAGCCTAAAACCCCAAAAAGCAAGCAATGCAGATTTAGAATTCAGACTCTGTGGGATGCAGAAGTGAGATGTGACCCTTCTGTTAACCACCTCCCCTGCTGACAGCGGCAACACCATCAGTTGTTTTCCTAACTCAACCACCTCACTACTTGTCTGACGACTAGGTTAATCAATACGGCTCTGCCTTTAGGATCACCTTTTTTTTATGAAGAGAATATCAAAACGTGTTTTTTTAACGGTAACTGGACTTAGAAGATTGTTTTGTGAAGAGACATGGAGGCTGTGTTTGGACTAGTGATGGTGATGTTAACAGAAGTGTCTCATGGTCAGATTCTTCTTATCCTCTTATTCTGTAGGCCCTTGATGGTGGTGGGGACTGGCCATGACCTGACGGCGTCCGTCTTTGCTCTTTCCATGAACACCCTCTGAGGACTGATCCTGTGTCCTAGGAAGGAGATGGACTGTTACTGGATTTCACATTTCTCCCCCTTCACCAACAGGCTGTGTTCACGGAGGCGGAGTAGGACCGCTCGGACGTCCCTGACGTGCTTCTCGAACGTAGCCGAGTAGATCAGAATATTGTCGATGTACACCACCACCTGTCTACTCAACATGTCTCGGAACACGTCATTGATGAAGGACTGGAACACGGAAGGTGCATTGGCGAGGCCATAGGGCATGACGCAGTATTCATAGTGGCCTGAGGAAGTACTGAATGCTGTCTTCCACTCGTCTCCTTCCCGGATTTGGATCAGGTTGTAGGCACTCCTCAGGTCCAACTTGGTAAAGGACCGGGCTCCTCATATCTGCTCGATAGCCGACGGAAACAGATGGAGGGGGTACCAGTACTTGGTGGTGACTGCGTTCAGCCCCCGGTAGTCAATGCACAGCCTCAGTCCTCCATCTTTTTTGGCCACGAAGAAGAAGATGGTGGAGGAAGGAGAGGTGGAGCGTCTGATGAACCCCTGTTTCAGGGTCGCCGCCACATACTTCTCCATGGCCTCAGTCTCCGCTATGGAGAGGGAGTAAATGCGACTCTTCGGGGGGTGTTGTCCCTCCAGCAGGTCAATGGCGCAGTCCCAGGGCCTGTGAGGAGGGAGACACTTTGCCTTGGAGGCAGAGAAGACATCGGAGAGATCTGCGTACTCCCGTGGAATGTTGGGCTGGAGGGTGGACTCCGGACTCTCCACTGACATGTAACAGCAAACCACCAGCAGGCAGGTCTTCCGGCATGATGGGGACCAGGCTGTGATCCCCTTGGTGATCCAACTGATGGTGTGGTTGTGTAGTCTGAGCCAGGGCAATCCCAAGACGATCTGGTGAAGGGGTGACGTGACGATGTGGAAGGACAGCTCCTTGTAGTGCTCCGGCAGTGTGGGAATTAGGGGAACTAAAAACAATGTTTTGGTGACAAGTGATGACAGAGCAGCAACGGGTGTCATACCTCCTAGATAGGGAGCCGCCAGGAGATCTATGGTCCGTGGTGGTCATTCCAGCTGGAAGACGCCGCCACCGTGCGAAAGCTCAGGGCGTACTCTAACGCGGCCTCCTCTCTCTGTTGTAGCCGGAGGAGACGCTCACCCGCATCCTTTCCCTCCGTGGGATGATCGAACACTGCCCTGAACCGAGCTAGGAAGGTGGAGTAGGGAAGTGCCGCGGCCTCACCTCCTTGCCAGACTGCCATAGCCCAATCCAGCGCCTTTCCCTTCAGTAGCGAAATCACCAGCTCTATCCTGGCTTGGTCTGATGGAGATGCCCCATGCTGACTCGCCAGATACAGTGAAACCTGTAGCAGGAAGCCTCTACATTTCGTCGTTTTCCCATCATAGCGCTCCGGCAGGGCGAGGGGTTCCCTTAGGTGTAACCGGAGCGCTGGTCAGTTTATGCAGCGTTTGGAGCACTTCCTGCATGGCGGCGTTCAGCTGGACAATCTTCTGCTGGTGCTGGTCGAGGCGCTGGGAAACTCCAGGAGGATTACCTGCTGCATCCATCTTCGTAATGGTGTGTGATTCTGTGACGAGTACTGAGGATACGAAGAGGCAGGATGCAGACGCAGGAATCAACAATGTAAAGGTTTATTTAACACTGAGCAAGAGAACAACAAAGAGCGAGTACGCGACATGACGCTAACAATCACACACAACAGAACACTGAAGAGTCCAGGGCTATATAGGGGTGGTGATAAGATGATGAGGTGCAGGTGCGCTGGAGGTGATTAGGGTGCGTTGGGTTTTCATTCCGGTGTTGCCGAGGTGGTGCGCTCAGACCGGTGGCTCCGTAGACGGGCGAATCAGAGCGCCGGAGGGGAGCAACGGGAGGAGACGTGACAGTATCTGCTAAATTGTTTCTATTGTCTACTTTGTATTGTAAAGATGTGAATGGTTATTGAGTCAAATGCACATACAGCATCATGCATTAGATCATTGCCACCATTGCCCATTGCAACAAATGTTTTTAAGAGAGACATCAATTTCTTTTGGCATCATGTCTTTCATTGAGATCTTTCTCTCTCTCGCTCTCTCTTTCTCTCTCTCTCTCTCGCTCTCTCTCTCTCCTCAACCACAGACATGGTGACCACCTGTAATGCTTCTCAGAACTCATCCCAGTGTTCCGTGGTTCTGGGTGGAGCTCTGGATCTCCAGCTGATGACCAATGCTAGTGGATGTGATCAACTTTCTTTATCAACAACGGGACCTTTAGGTTAACCAATGTGGAGAGGACTGATTCTGGGCAATACCTTGTGGAGATCTACGATTCAAATGGGTTTCGTTTGGGAACCAGACGAGTACAACTGGACATTGAAGGCAAGTAACATGATATAACATAATACATTTTAATCCATATTTTATTTTCCTCTATCTATTAAAATGGCCAAATACAAAACAAATGTAATAAGGTGCAGCAGATCAAAGTAGCCATGATACTGCCAGGTAAACCATCAACATCTCCATTTTGCAGAGATCATAAGTACTACTTCCTTAGACCTAGTAACCATTTCCTTATATGGTTGGAAATACTGTCAGATTGAAACAAATTGTGTAACATAGATGTTATGATGTCTTTGTCATAGTGTTGTGTGGTACAAAGTTCAATCTGGTAGATAGTTAACTCTTGGTGCCACAGGGTCTGACTGCCAAGGATTCCATTATGTCGAGGGAGCTTAGTGGGGTTTATCTTAGAATGATTGATAGATGTGATATACTGACTTGGGGTTCAAGGTAATAACATCAAAGAAGGAAGTGCCCATTGATGGTTACCAGATGTTGTGGAAGCAATATGTAACATGGACTATATAAACTGAGATATTTTCTTTGTCTAGTAGTTCGGATGACAAGAGGCAAAGCATGGGCCGTTTGTTAGACGAACCACGGTACCGTGTCTATTAAATAATTTGTATTAACTCTACATCTAAGTGTTTAATATCTTCTTGCATCATGACTCACTTGACACCAGAGAAACTCATCATAACAATAGGTGAATACAATATGCTGAGACACAGCACATGTGGCTACACTGAAAAATCCACATTCATGTAGGCTTACAAGTGCCTATAGAAGGTCTACACCCCACTTGGATTTCTGCACATTTTCTTGTGTTATAAAGTGGGTTTAAAATGAATTTAATTTGTCCATGCTCTAAACAAAATACTCTGTAATGTCAAAGTGGAAGAAAAATTATAACATTTTTTAAAGATGAATCCACCCCAGAAATAAAAAGCATGAAACTCGTGTCAATTTGGTGAAAGCCTATGTTCTATTAGTGGGTAAAATAAAACATTTCCCCATGATTTAACTTCTAAGTGGATTGACAGTTTGAAAAGAGTGTCTATCACCTAATGAATGATGATGTAATTCTGCTAGCTAGCTAGTTAGCTATGGTGTCTCATTTGTACTTGTAAATGTAAATGTACTTGATTTGAGTTTGTTCTGCTGCTGCTGACATCTGCCTCTTACAAACAAGCAGTCGAATGCCCCCCTTCTATGTCCCTAACAGTGAGAGATACACATTACATATCCAACTCAAACGTAGCCCAGTGTCTTTAGCCAGAGGCCACTGGATGCAGAAATCAGATGAAAAATTATGAAACAAATGTGAAGATTAAAGGGATAATCCAACCCCAGAAATATAAATAATGAAACTCCTGTCAATTTGGTGAAAGCCTACATTCTATCGGTGGGTAAAATACAACATTTCCCCATGATTTAACTTCTAAGTGGTCCGTCTGTAAAACCCAGGAAATAGTATAGGAACGCGTCATAGCGACATGATTCTCGTAACTGGAGATAGGAGATAACACACTATCACATTTCATAACACTTTTAAAACAATTACCTGCACACCAGATCACCTGATCAATCAATAGATGGTATGGCCATACTTGTCTAGAACACATCCATCTATTTATATCGTCATGACAAAGTATAGAATTTGTTTAGATGTGCCCAATCTAAACAGTGTACCAAATTATTCAACTCTGTTTCTCCTTTGAGTATCATGTCGCAATGTGCCCAGTGTGTCTGTGGAAAACAGAGATATTACAGAAAGGAGGTGATGGGAATCCCATTGGGCAATGAATGGAGAAACGTCCCACCCAACTGACTGTCGACCCATCGCATTCACGTTGTCATGCTGAACGTTGCTAAACTAATCGAGTCGAGAAACCTGCCTATTGTCCTCAAAAGTATGTAATGTCACGATTTCAAAGCTATATGATATTACAGAGAACAAGTTCGTTATTTCAACTGACTCCCATTCACTCCTTGAAGGAGAGCTTTCCTTGTCCCAGAATCACCCAGAATGCACCACGTGGTCTATTGACGACGCATGGGCAACATACACAATGGGCGTTAATACGGTCTAAGGGAGTTTCCCATCTCCTCAAAAGTGTGAAAGAAACGTACTCTGCTCTCGCTCTGGGCAGAGACGAATTGCAAGTTGAATTCAGTGAGATAGATTACTAAATTGATACTGCAGTTTGTTTTGCCGATTTTACAGCTACAGTAGCTAGCCACTTCAAATGCTGATATTGACTTTGGTATTACTGTGTGTAGCTATGTTTTTCTACCTAGCTACCAAGCCAGCCCAGAGAGAGAGCGCATTGCATTGTGGGTTTGTAGTCAACTTGAGCAGCAACAGATTTCCCAAAACAATTTTCACATGTTTCTACCAACCTTGTTATAACAACAAAATGAAACGTTTGTTCACACATACACCACCGGTCAAAAGTTTTAGAATACCTACTCATTCAAGGGTTTTTATTTATATTTACTATTTCTACATTGTAGAATAATAGTTAAGACATCAACCTATGAAATAACACATATGGAATCATGTAGTAACCAAAACAGTGTTAAACAAATCAAAATATATTTTATATTTGAGATTCTTCAAATAGCCACCATTTGCCTTGATGACAGCTTTGCACACTCTTGGCATTCTCTCAACCAGCTTCATGAGGTAGTCACCTGGAATGCCTTTCAATTAACAGGTGTGCCTTCTTCAAAGTTAATTTGTGGAATAGTGTGGGGGTGCTTTGCTGGTGACACTGCTGGTGATTTATTTAGAATTCAAGGCACACTTAACCAGCATGGCTACCACAGCATTCTGCAGCGATACGCCATCCCATGTGGTTTGGGTTAATGGGACTATTATTTGTTTTTCAACAGGCCAATGATCCAACACAACTCCAGGCTGTGTAAAGGCTATTTTACCAAGAAGGAGAGTGATGGAGTGCTGTATCAGATGACATGGCCTCCACAATCCCCCGACCTCAACCCATTTGAGATGGTTTGGGATGAGTTGGACGGCAGAGTGAAGAAAAAGCAGCCAACAAGTGCTCAGCATATGTGGCAACTGCTTCAAGACTGTTGGAAAAGCATTCCAGGTGAAATTTGTTGAGAGAATGCCAAGAGTGTGCAAAGCTGTCATCAAGGCAAAGGGTGGCTATGTGAAGAATCTCAAATATATAATATGTTTTGATTTTTTGGATTACTACATGATTCCAAATATGTTATTTCATAGTTTTGATGTCTTCACTATTATTCTACAATGTAGAAAAATTTAAAAAATAAAGCCCTTGAATGAGTAGGTGTTCTAAAACTTTTGACCGGGAGAGTATACAGTGGGGGAAAAAGTATTTAGTCAGCCACCAATTGTGCAAGTTCTCTCACCTAAAAAGATGAAGAAAACGTTTGACCTGTGTCATTGCCAACAAAGGGTATATAACAATATATTGAGAAACTTTTGTTATTGACCAAATACTTATTTTCCACCATAATTTGCAAATAAATTCATTAAAAATCCTACAATGTGATTTTCTGGATTTTTTTTTCTCATTTTGTCTGTCATAGTTGACGTGAACCTATGATGAAAATTACAGGCCTCTCTCATCTTTTTAAGTGGGAGAACGTGCACAATTGGTGGCTGACTAAATACTTTTTTTCCCCACTGTATATAATTTTTTACATATTAGTGTTATTTAATGCTATTTGACACTGTTAATCCTAGGAATTAGTGGTTTGGGGTGGATTATTCCTTTAACAAAAAATAAAACACTAATATACCTTGATTAGATAACTATTCACTCCCTGAGTTAATACATGTTAGAAACACCTTTGGCTGTAATTACAGCTGTGAGTCCTCTTGGGTAAGTCTCATAAGAGCTTTGCACACCTGTATTGTACAATATTTGCCTATTATTCTTTTAAAAATTCTTCAACCTCTGTCAAGGTGTCTGGGATCATGGCCAGAAAGCAATTTCAAATCTTGCCTTAGATTTTTAAGCAGATTTAAGTCACAACTGTAACCTGGCCACTCAGGAACATTCACTGTCTTCTTGGTAAGCAGCTCCAGTGTAGATTTGGCTTTGTGTTGTAGGTTATTGTCCTGCTGAAAGGTGAATTTCTCTTCCAGTGTCTGGTGTAAAGCAGACTGAAGCAGGTTTTCCTCTAGGGTTTTAGCTGTGCTTAGCTCGATCTAATTTATTTTCATCCTGAAAAACTCCCACGTCTTTGCCGATGTCAAGCAAACCATACCATGATGCAGCCACCATCATGTTTGAAAATAATTTGGCTGTTACTCAGTAATGTGTTGTGTTGGATTGGCCCCAAACATAAGGCTTTGCATTTAGGCCAAAAATGTTATTCCTTTGCTGTGTTTATTTGCAGTATTACATTAGTGCCTTTTTTGAATATTTTATTGTGAATATTGCTATTCTTCTTTTCACTCTGTCATTTAGGTCATTATTTTGAGGTCACTACAGTGTTGTTGATCTATCCTCAGTTTTCTCCCATCACAGCCATTGAATTATGTAGCTGTTTTAAAATCACCAATGGCATCATGGTAACATTCCTAAGCAGTTTCCGTTCTGTCCTGCAGCTCAGTTCAGAAGGTCGACTGCATCTTTGATGTGTCTGGGTGGTTTAATACATCATCCACAGCATAATTATTAACTCGACCATGATTAAAGACATATTCAGTGTCTGATTTGTTATTGCTACTCATCTACCAATCACTGCCCGTCTTTATGAGGCTTTCGAAAAGCTCCCTGGTCTTTGTACTTGAATCTGTGCTTGAAATTCCATACTTGACTGAGAGACCTTACAGATGTTGTATGTATGGGGGGCATAGGAAGGGGTAGTCATTTACAAATCATGTCAACCCCTATTAGTTTAGTCCATATACAGTGGGGAAAAAAAGTATTTAGTCAGCCACCAATTGTGCAAGTTCTCCCACTTAAAAAGATGAGAGAGGCCTGTAATTTTCATCATAGGTACACGTCAACTATGACAGACAAAATGAGAAAAAAAATCCAGAAAATCACATTGTGGGATTTTTAATGAATTTATTTGCAAATTATGGTGGAAAATAAGTATTTGGTCACCTACAAACAAGCAAGATTTGTGGCTCTCACAGACCTGTAACTTCTTCTTTAAGGGGCTCCTCTGTCCTCCACTCGTTACCTGTATTAATGGCACCTGTTTGAACTTGTTATCAGTATAAAAGACACCTGTCCACAACCTCAAACAGTCACACTCCAAACTCCACTATGGCCAAGACCAAAGAGCTGTCAAAGGACACCAGAAACAAAATTGTAGAACTGCACCAGGCTGGGAAGACTGAATCTGCAATAGGTAAGCAGCTTGGTTTGAAGAAATCAACTGTGGGAGCAATTATTAGGAAATGGAAGACATACAAGACCACTGATAATCTCCCTCGATCTGGGGCTCCACGCAAGATCTCACCCCGTGGGGTCAAAATGATCACAAGAACAGTGAGCAAAAATCCCAGAACCATGCGGGGGGACCTAGTGAATGACCTGCAGAGAGCTGGGACCAAAGTAACAAAGCCTACCATCAGTAACACACTACGCCGCCAGGGACTCAAATCCTGCAGTGCAAGACGTGTCCCCCTGCTTAAGCCAGTACATGTCGAGGCCCGTCTGAAGTTTGCTAGAGTGCATTTGGATGATCCAGAAGAAGATTGGGAGAATATCATATGGTCAGATGAAACCAAAATATTAAGTTTTTGGTAAAAACTCAACTCGTCGTGTTTGGAGGACAAAGAATGCTGAGTTGCATCCAAAGAACACCATACCTACTGTGAAGCATGGGGGTGGAAACATCATGCTTTGGGGCTGTTTTTCTGCAAAGGGACCAGGACGACTGATCCGTGTAAAGGAAAGAATGAATGGGGCCATGTATCGTGAGATTTTGAGTGAAAACCTCCTTCCATCAGCAAGGGCATTGAAGATGAAACGTGGCTGGGTCTTTCAGCATGACAATGATCCCAAACACACCGCCCGGGCAACGAAGGAGTGGCTTCGTAAGAAGCATTTCAAGGTCCTGGAGTGGCCTAGCCAGTCTCCAGATCTCAACCCCATAGAAAATCTTTGGAGGGAGTTGAAAGTCTGTGTTGCCCAGCGACAGCCCCAAAACATCACTTCTCTAGAGGAGATCTGCGTGGAGGAATGGGCCAAAATACCAGCAACAGTGTGTGAAAACCTTGTGACGACTTACAGAAAACGTTTGACCTGTGTCATTGCCAACAAAGGGTATATAACAAAGTATTGAGAAACTTTTGTTATTGACCAAATACTTATTTTCCACCATAATTTGCAAATAAATTCATAAAAAATCCTACAATGTGATTTTCTGGATTTTTATTCCTCATTTTGTCTGTCATAGTTGATGTGTACCTATGATGAAAATTAAAGGCCTATCTCATCTTTTTAAGTGAGAGAACTTGCACAATTGGTGGCTGACTAAATACTTTTTTTCCCCACTGTAACTTATTATGTGATTTGTTACGCCACATTTTACATCTCATTTAGGTTTGCCTAAACAAAGGGGGTGAATAAATATGCAGTGACTATTTTTGTTATTATATTTGTATTAATTTGAAGAAACTAAATTAAATGTTCTTTTCACTTTGACATTAAGGACTGTTTTGTGTAGATCAATGTACATTTTTTTTTACAATCAAATATATTTCAATCCCACTTTGTAACACAACAAAATGTGGAAAAAAGGTGGTGTAGATTTTCTATAGGCACTGTATGTGTATGTATTTTTGCAGTGCCTTGCAAAAGTATTCATCCCCCTTAGCGTTTTTCCTATTTTGTTGCATTACAACCTGTAATTTAAATGGATTTTAATTTGCATTTCATGTAATGGACATACACAAAATAGTCCAAATTGGTGAAGTGAAATAAAAAAAAATACTTGTTTCAAAAAATTCTAAAAAGTAAATAATGGAAAAGTGATATGTGCTTATGTATTCACCATCTTTGCTATGATGCCCCTAAATAAGATCTGGTGCAACCAATTACCTTCAGAAGTCACATAATTAGTTAAATAAAGTCCACCTGTGTGCAATCTAAGTGCCACATGATCTCAGTATATATACACCTGTTCTGAAAGGCCCCAGAGTCTGCAACACCACTAAGCAAGGGGACCACCAAGCAAGCGGCACCATGAAGACCAAGGAGCTCTCCAAACAGGTCAGGGACAAAGTTGTGGAGAAGTACAGATCAGGGTTGGGTTATAAAAAAATATCCAAAACTTTTTACATCCAATGGAGCACCATTAAATCGATTATAAAAAAAATGGAAAGAATTTGGCACCACAACAAACCTGCCAAGAGAAGGCCGCCCACCAAAACTCATGGACCAGGCAAGGAGGGCATTAATCAGAGAGGCAACAAAGAGACCAAAGATAACCCTGCAGGAGCTGCAAAGCTCCACAGTGGAGATTGGATTATCTGTCCATAGGACCACTTTAAGCCATACACTCCACAGAGCTGGGCTTTACGGAAGAATGGCCAGAAAAAGCCATTGCTTAAAGAAAAATTAAGGAAACACGTTTGGTGTTCGCCAAAAGGCATGTGGGAGACTCCCCAAACATATGGAAGACGGTACTCTGGTCAGATGAGACTAAAATTGAGCTTTTTGGCCATCAAGGAAAACGCTATGTCTGGCGCAAACCCAACACCTCTCATCACCCCGAGAACACCATCCCCACAGTGAAGCATGGTGGTGGCAGCATCATGCTGTGGGGATGTTTTTCATCGGCAGGGACTGGGAAACTGATCAGAATTGAAGGAATGATGGATGGCGCTAAATACAGGGAAATTCTTGAGGGAAACCTGTTTCAGTCTTCCAGAGATTTGAGACTGGGATGGAGGTTCACCTTCCAGCAGGACAATGACCCTAAGCATACTGCTAAAGCAACACTCAAGTGGTTTAAGGGGAAACATTTACATGTCTTGGAAAGGTCTAGTCAAAGCCCAGACCTCAATCCAATTGAGAATCTGTGGTATGACTTAAAGATTGCTGTACACCAGTGGAACTCATCCAACTTGAAGGAGCTGGAGCAGTTTTGCCTTGAAGAATGGGCAAAAATCCCAGTGGCTAGATGTGCCAAGCTTATTGAGACATACCCCAAGAGACTTGCAGCTGTAATTGCTGCAAAAGGTGGCTCTACAAACTATTGACTTTGGGGGGTTGAATAGTTATGCACGCTTAAGTTTTCTGTTTTCTGTTCTTATTTCTTGTTTGTTTCACAAAAAAAAATATTTTGCATCTTCAAGGTGTGTTGTGTAAATCAAATGATACAAACCCCCAAAAAATCTATTTTAATTCCAGGTTATAAGGCAACAAAATAGGAAAAATTCCAAGGGGGGTGAATACTTTCGCAAGCCACTGTATAAGGGGCTTAAAAGCCATGGAATCATTGAATGCAAACATCCAGTAGAGTTTAAGAATAATTTAGACCTTCAGTTTAGGATGCTAGACTTATGTTCTTAAGAAGAAAGTGGTCAGCCTGCAATATATGCTTCTTTGTTAACACCACTCTGTGGGTGTTGTTGCCTGGTAACGTGGCCTGAATTCAGTCAGGGAGACCTCATCAGCTATAAACAGGGCTGCCCACAGGGGCCTTATTCATAAATAGAAATTAAAACCATGCCAACTGTCTCTGTTTCAGAATGTCAACACATATAGGCTTATTCCTCATCACAGATTGTAAGCAAATAAGTTCCAGTGACTCCTAGTAACTGGTCCAGAGACGACTAAATGATTGACAGTGGGAAGAGAGTGTCTATCAGCTGAATGATGATGTAATTCTGCTAGCTAGCTAGTTAGCTATGCTGTCTAATTTTTACTTGATTTGAGTTTGTTCTGCTGCTGCTGACGTCTGCCTCTTACAAACAAGCAGTCCAATGGCCCCCTCATCTGTCTCTAACAGAGAGAGATACACATTACAGATCCAACTCAAACGTAGCCTTCCAGTATTCACACACTCCGCCCAGTGTCCGTAGCCAGAGAAGACTGTATGCAGAAGTCAGACAAGTGCACAAGTGGGGCTAGAGTTCGGGGGAGGGGCTGGAGTGCGGGGGAGGGGACATTTTCCAAGAATCATGTTCATGAAATTAGCCAGTTTGATGTGCACGTTGTTACATTTAAAATTAAAACATTTAAAAAATACTCAAAATATTTTTTGGAAAAATCCACCATGCTGCTGGGCACTTTTTTATAAGAGGGCAAAAGAGCAGTTGAGCCCTATCTGTGCACGTGCCTGGCTATAAATCTACACTGAGTGTACAAAACACTAGGAACTGTCTATCTCCAGCTGACTGATACCAGGGTATATTAATTCATATTACAGAAATACCCCAATGATGAAGCTACAGACATAGTCAACATGTACAATTATTTAGTTAGAATGCATGATATTAAAGCTAGATCAGAATTCTTCCTGAACAAAAGGACATTTATGATAGATAGCGCAGAAAGGAGTGATTCTGATGAACACCTCTTAGAAACATTTAATTATAATGGAAGTTCATTGGGCACCAGAAGACTACAACGTGGCTTCATTGAAGGTAAAGGGCTATCTCTCAACAAAAAAACTCATGATAATTAGCTTCCAAAGATACAGTATATACAGTAATTTGACACATAAAGTTGATATGTTTTTTGTCTGTTTGCTGAAGTTGCCTTATTCCCCCACAGCTCCAGTGTCCTCTCCTCAGCTGTCCTCTGAGTGTCTGTCCCATGGAGAGATGAGGGTGTCCTGCTCCTCTGAGGGGGACGGTCCCCAGTACAGCTGGAATCTGGATGGACAGACGTTGAGAGACACTGAGGCCTCTTCTGATAACGAGACAAACACCATCACTCTGAAGAAAGGCCTGTCAGAAGATCTCACCTGTACCGTCAGAAACTACATCAGCAGTGATACTGTCGGCAAGGGAATCTCACCTAGTCCCTGTAAGCTACTGTACTGTCACATTGTCAATCCTGTATCTGTGCCATTATATGTTTAGCTTTAGCAGACACATCATGCAAAATAATACATTATTATGTTAATAATGATGATGATGACGGTTGATGCCATCTCTTTGATATTTTCTTTAATATAGACCACATGGAGAATTAAATGTATCAGACTTTTGACAGATTTCATTCATTAGTGTGTTAATTATATTATGTTAATGATTTGTTTATTTCCGACTTGCTGAAGTCTTCATTCTGCAAACAGTCTGTCTGAACAAGGTCAGTAATGCATCACTGTACCTTTAATTAAGGTGTAGCTGTATCTTTGTTGAATGATGTTTATAATTTTATTCTGCTTAACTATTCTCCTTTCTCTCTTTCTTTCTCTCTCTCCCTCCCTCTCACTCCCTCTCTCTCTTTCTCCCCCCTCTCTCTCTCTCTCTCTCTCTCTCTCTCTCTCTCTCTCTCCCTAGTCTTCTCTTTCCTCTCTCTCTCATCAATACCCTAACGCAGCCCTCTCTCTCTGCTCTCTCTCCCCAGGGGGGAAAATAAAGGGGAAGGAGGGGCGAAGAAGGGGGAAAAATGAAAAAGGGGGGGAGAAAAAAGAAAAAGCAAAAAAAAGTGAAGGAAAAAGGAAAAAGGGAACGGGGGGGGGGTGGGGCACGGGCCCTCCCTCTCTCTCTTTATCACTCCGCTCTTTAATCATTAATTGTCTGTCAGCTCTCCTCGATCTCTCTCCTCGCTCCTCTCTCTCTCTCTCTTCTCTCTCGTTCCCTCGCTCTGCCTCTCATCTCTCTCTCTCTCATCTCTCTCTCGTCTGTCTCTGTCTCAATTCAATTCAATTCAATGGGCTTTATTGGCATCGGAAACATATGTTTACATTGTCAAAGCAAGTGAAATGGATAAACAATATAAATATAAAAATAGTACACTCACAAAAGTTGCAAAATAATAAAGACATTTCAAATGCCATATTATGTCCAAATACAGTGTTGAAGTGATGTGCAAATAGTTAAAGTACAAAAGGGAAAATAAAGAAATATGTGTTGTATTTACAATGGTGTTTGTTCTTCACTGGTTGCCATTTTCTTGTGGCAACAGGCCACAAATCTTGATGCTGTGATTGCACACTGTGGTTTTTCACCCAGTAGATAAGGGAGTTTATCAAAATTGGGTTTGTTTTAGAATTCTTTGTGGGTCTGTGTATTCTGAGGGTAATATGTGTCTCTAATATGTTCATACATTTGGCAGGAGGTTAGGAAGTGCGGCTCAGTTTCCACCTCATTTTGTGGGCAGTGTGCACATAGCTTGTCTTTTCTTGAGAGCCAGGTCTGCGTACGGCGGCCTCTCTCAATAGCAAGGCTATGCTCACTGAGTCTGTACATAGTCAAAGCTTTCCTCAAGTTTGGGTCAGTCACAGTGGTCAGGTATTCTGCCACTGTGTACTCTCTGTTTAGGGCCAAATAGCATTCTAGTTTGCTTTGTTTTTTTGTTTGTTCTTTCCAATGTGTCAAGTAATTCTCTTTTTGTTTTCTCATGATTTGGTTGGGTCTAATTGTGTTGTTATTGTTGTTGTTGTTGTCCTGGGACCAGCTTGCTTAGGGGACTCTTCTCCAAGTTCATCTCTCTGTAGGTGATGGATTTGTTATGGAAGGTTTGGGAATCGCTTCCTTTTAAGTGGTTATAGAATTTAACGGCTCTTTTCTGGATTTTGATAATTAGCGGGTATTGGCCTTATTCTGCTCTGCATGCATTATTTGGTGTTTTACGTTGTACACTGAGGATGTTTTTGCAGAATTCTGCATGCAGAGTCTCAATTTGATGTTTGTCCCATTTTGTGAATTCTTGGTTGGTGAGCGGACCCCAGACCTCACAACCATAAAGGGCAATGGGTTCTATAACTGATTCAAGTATTTTTAGCCAGATCCTAATTGGTATGTCAAATTTTATGTTCCTTTTGATGGCATAGAAGGCCCTTTTGCCTTGTCTCTCAGATCGTTCACAGCTTTGTGGAAGTTACCTGTGGCGCTGATGTTTAGGCCGAGGTATGTATGGTTTTTTGTGTGCTCTAGGGCAACGGTGTCTAGATGGAATTTGTATTTGTGGTCCTGGCAACTGGACCTTTTTTGGAACACCATTATTTTTGTCTTACTGAGATTTACTGTCAGGGCCCAGGTCTGACAGAATCTGTGCAGAAGTTCTGGGTGCTGCTGTAGGCCCTCCTTGGTTGGTGACAGAAGCACCAGATCATCAGCAAACAGTAGACATTTGACTTCAGATTCTAGTAGGGTGAGGCCGGGTGCTGCAGACTGTTCTAGTGCCCTCGCCAATTCGTTGATATATATGTTGAAGAGGGTGGGGCTTAAACTGCATACCTATCTCACTCCACGGCCCTGTGGAAAGAAATGTGTGTGTTTTTTGCCAATTTTAACCGCACACTTGTTGTTTGTGTACATGGATTTTATAATGTCGTATGTTTTTCCCCCAACCCCACTTTCCATCAATTTGTATAGCAGACCCTCATGCCAAATTGAGTCAAAAGCTTTTTTGAAATCAATAAAGCATGAGAAGACTTTGCCTTTGTTTTAGTTTGTTTGTTTGTCAATTAGGGTGTGCAGGGTGAATACGTGGTCTGTCGTACGGTAATTTGGTAAAACGCCAATTTGACATTTGCTCAGTACATTGTTTTCACTGAGGAAATGAACTAGTCTGCTGTTAATGATAATGTAGACGATTTTCCCAAGGTTGCTGTTGACGCATATCCCACGGTAGTTATTGGGGTCAAATTTGTCTCCACTTTTGTGGATTGGGGTGATCAGTCCTTGGTTCCAAATATTCTCTCTCTTTCTGTCTCTCTCTCTCTCTCCAGATGATGGTCAGTAAGCAGAGTGCATCATGGTAGAACTCAGAGGAGGGTGTTGATGTCCTGAGAGTTGCTATGGGGACTAACCAGGTTATGAGATTACCTTATGAAATAATTGCTAATGATGATACAATATTGTTTACAGTTGACAACGTTTGATATCGCCCTTTTTAACTTTATTTAAGCTGTAATTATCATTTTGTGTAAGTACTTACTATCAAATAAGTGTAAAGTACAATGTATTGCATTGCTGTGTTTTCGTTTTATATTGCTTGTGATATACAGTAACAGAAATGTATGAGAGTTGGAGGGCTTTTTAAATGGGGAACTGTAACAGACACTTCCATTCTTACATCATGTTATGATTTGATGTATTTGTGCGATTTTGAATGTATAGAAATAAAAGCAATCTACTTTTGAAACATTTCAACCTCATTTCTCATTACCTACTACTTTTAAAAAATGTTGGACCTCATTTCTCATTATCTACTACTTTTGAAACATTCTGGACCTCATTTCTCATTATCAACTACTTTTGAAACATTTGAACCTCATTTCTCATTATAATAATAATATGCCATTTAGCAGATGCTTTTATCCAAAGCGACTTACAGTCATGCGTGCATATATATATATATATATATATTGTGTATGGGTGGTCCCAGGGATCAAACCCACTACCTTGGCGTTACAAGCGCCGTGCTCTACCAGCTGAGCTACAGAGGACCACAATTATCTACTACTTTTTAAACATTTGAACCTAATTTCTCATTATCAAATTTTGTTTAAACATTCTGGACCTCATTTCTCATTATCTACTACTTTTGAAACATTCTGGACCTCATTTCTCATTATCTACTACTTTTGAAACATTCTGGACCTCATTTCTCATTACCTACTACTTTTGAAACATTCTGGACCTCATTTCTCATTATGTACTACTTTTTGAAACATTCTGGACCTCATTTCTCATTATGTACTACTTTTTGAAACATTCTGGACCTAATTTCTCATTATCTACTACTTTTTGTTTGAAGCACGACAAACTAAGTGACTATGTGCAGGGTTTTCTGACTTTTCTATCAGCCCACTGAAATAAATGTTATTACAAATACTGTAGCACTTCCCTTCATGAAGAGCCAATGCTGAGGTGTGGTCAGACAATCATCACAATGTCATAGACCAGATCTCACGTCACAAGTTCTGAGGTCTCCTACTTCCTAGAATGATGGGCTAAAGTGACCTTGAGAGATGTAGACAACCCAAGTTAATACCCGGCCGCTCATACCTTGTCACTGTTGTATCTTTAGAAATGTTCTAAAATAGCAAATTACTGACACTCTATGAAATGAAAGCGAGGCTGTTTAAACACCTCCTTTCCTTTAGAAGATATAGTGTAGCTACCTACCAACTTAATACATAGCTAATGTTCAAGCAGCGATAGTGACAGTTAGTGACAGCGTTAGTGAGATTGTGACTGTTACATTTTTTTGTCATTCAAAGTGGGGATCCCCATTGCGAGTCAATGGTTGCAGGACATACTAAGACATATCTGTAGGCCTTTGTTGTGACAGACTTTATTAACATGCATGCTGTGTATGGACTTCTAATGATGGTAGTGGGACTGTCTTATGGTAAGCAAAATCATTTATGCAGTATCTACAGATATATTTGAATTGTATCTCTATCTTATGACTAAAATCAATGCTAAACAATCTGTCTTTTCAAAACAAGTTTTTAAAACATTTTGCTTGTAAAATGGTCAGTCTGGTCACAAAGTCCATAAGTGAAATGATGAAAGAGGTTCCGTGAAGAAAGTTATCATTTTCTGCACAATGCCCCTTTTCACTCTATCCTCAGGCATGTATAAGACCTCTGACGCTAGAGAGGATGGATCTCAGAGTTATGGAGCTCTGGGAGGGACTGTCTATCTCTGGCTGATCACCAACACCAGGGGACATGACCTTGAATTCAAGAACAACATCACAGGGACCAGAGTTTCAAATTAGAAAACGACAGAGTCACAACCAACCCCCCTTTAAAACACAGAGCAGTGTTCTATGTGGAGGATGGGATGTTGGTGCTCAGTAACACAGAGAAAGCTCATTATGGAAAATATGACTTAAACATTTACAACTCAGAGGGGATACTTCCGAAGACAAGTCAATTAGACCTACTCCTGGTTACACAAGGAATAAACTTTCTAAGACTTTTTTTTCATAGTCGCCAATAGATGATTTATAGATGTTCAACTAACTGTCAACAAACTGTTTAACTAACTATCCACTAACACTAACTCTAACCCCAGCCCTAACTTTAACCACGACCTAAACTTCATGACTGTTTTAGAGAGTTAAATAATAGTTGTCTGCTCTCATTCCTCCACAGCGCCAGTGTCCTCTCCTCAGCTGTCCTCTCAGTGTCTGTCCCATGGAGAGATCATGGTGACCTGCTCCTCTGAGGGCCAGCCTCCAGTACACCAGGACGGACAGACACTGAATGGAATGGTGGCTTTTCTCAGTGACATGACAGACACCGTCATTCTGAAGAAGGACATCGTGGGGACTCTCGACTGTAGCTTGCCAAACCATATCAGCAATGTTACCATCACTCAAGAGATCTCTTCATGTAGTATATCTATTGGTAAGTATATGTTAATACAAGGTTTACTACCCACTGGGGAAACCACGTCATTTCAACATGGATAATTGGGAAATATTTGGTTGAGACGTTGATCAATGAGATTACAACCTATATTCACCCATTCAAAAAGACAGCCAAAAGTTAGTTGAATTTCCAATGTGTTCTGCTTTCAACCATCTAAAAGCACAACCAAATTCCAATGGAAAAACAAATTCAGATTTTTGGTTTAGTTGTCACTCAAATGTCTGTCACTGAGCTTTCAACCATTTAGCAAAGCAAAGTAAAAATGTGAATACAATGTCAGATATTTTGTTTTTTTATAAAAACAGATTAATGTGTTATCACTGTGCTTCATCTATACTGAACAAAAATATAAACCAACATGCAACAATTTCAAAGATTATACTGAGTTACAGTTCATAAAGGAAATCAGTCAATTGAAATACATTCATTAGGCTGTAATCTATGGATTTCACATGAATGGGCAGGGGCGTAGCCATAGGTGGGAGCCTATGGGAGCTCCCACCTATGGCTACGCCCCTAGGTGGGAGCCTATGGGAGCCCACCCACTGCGGAGCCAGGCTCAGCCAATCAGAATGAGTGGCCCACAAAAAGGGCTTTATTACAGACAGAAATACTTGACAGTACAACCCGCTGGTGAAGAAGCCGGATCTGGAGGTCCTGGGCTGGCGTGTTTACATGTGGTCTGTGGTTGTGAGGCCAGTTCTCTAAAATGACGTTGGAGGCGATTTGTGGTAGAGAAATTAACATTCAATTCACTGGCAACACTGGACATTCCTGCAGTCAGCATTGCCGATTGCACGCTCCCTCAAAACTTGAGACATCTGCGGCATTGTGTTGTGTGACACAAACTGCACATTTTAGAGTGGCCTTTTACTGTCCCCAGCACAAGGTGCACCTGTGTAATGATCATGCTGTTTAATCAGCTTCTTGATATGCCACACCTGTCAGGTGGATGGATTATCTTGGCAAAGGACAAATGCTCACTAACAGGGATGTAAACACATTTGTGCAAAACATTTTTAGCTAAATAAGCTTTTTGTACATAAGGAACATTTCTGGCATATTTTACTTCAGCTCATGAAACATGGACCAACACTTAACATGTTGCGTTTATATTTTTTGTTCAGTGTAATAGCAGAACCAAATGACCTGGACTGCAGTTGAGATTACATTAAAAGTACGAAGGTTCTAGACGTCATCACGCAACAGAGGTCATCAAAGCGTGCAACAGAACAGTGGACTGTCTACACTCGGTTTGTTGTTTTAATGAAATAGTTTTAATTAAATCGCTTTTAATCATAGATAAAGTGTGCATTGCTACGGATTACGCGATGCGGTCAGCCTTAACGACTGGGACCGCAAGTTTGTGTCCCAGATTTCTGTTAAGTAGCAGTTAGCTGCCAGCCATCGTGAAAACGGAACAGGCTAACGCTAGCAGTAGGATGGACACAATACATTTTTAATGACGCTTTTTTCTGATAAAAACTAGTTCATTGCATCCGCCATGGGGCCCAGTTTCATAATATGACCCTATGTCCCAGCTGCTTGCTGTAGTTTTGAAGTAATCATGAAAAAACAGGCCTTATTTTAGTGCTTTTTTCACCCTGCCAGCTCCTATTAGTTCTATTGAGCACCGTGGCACCAACCCACCTTCTGAACATTCTATTCCCAGTTCTGCGTCACATTTTTACATTTTCGTCATTTAGCAGACGCTCTTATCCAGAGCGACTTACAGTTAGCGAGAGCATACATTTTATTTAATTTTTTTCATACTCACAACCAGTTTCGCTATTGTTAGCAATGAGACCTGCCCATGTCAACCTTGAAGGCTTACCTCAGGTAACTTATTATTATTATTAGTATTATTAACATAAGCACACTCTCTGTTCGCCTGTGTACACGTTGTGGTGACCTACATGCTAGAGATGGCTGGCGCATAGTGATCAAACGTTAAACATTTTCTGGTCATTGTTAGCCTTTTAATTTTTTTGTTAAAAAGGTGTACAACCTAAACAAAACGCATGTCCCTGTCCTCTTTTTCAAGATGTGACCGATTTAAACAGCCAGAAGGCATTTTTTGTTTGTTTTGATTTGTTGTTTCTAAATGGCTGCTGGGTAATTGGGATGTAGCTCAGTTGGTAGAGCATGGTGTTTGCAACGCCAGGGTTGTGGGTTCGATTCCCATGGGGGGCCAGTATGAAAAATATAAAACAAAATATAATGTATGCACTCACTAACTGTAAGTCGCTCTGTATAAGAGCGTCTGCTAAATGCCTAAAATGTAAATGTAATTTGATATGCATCGAAATCTGTTCTTTCGTAGGCATCGAACTGAGCGAATGCTGCGCAGGTTCACTGAGTTGCAAACCAAATGGATAGGTCTAGCTCATTGATTTGTAGATCTGATGCAGTTGCTACCTCCGATTATGAGCCTAGCAAGTGTCGCGAATGAGGTATATAGTACCCGGAGAAGGCCACAGGAAGGAGCAAGATAGCTATAAACCCATACTGTTTTTTTTGCCTTAAAAACCCTAAACCTAACACTAGGAATAACCTATTTTAGCCTTAACCCTAATTCTAGCGTAGGGTAGCCTAGAACACTTTTAGAAACTATTATAGTAATAATATTATGTTCATAAATACCATTATAGTACTAAATAGCATTTTCATAGTTATTTTATTTATCAGAACCTATGTAAGCATTTTGCTTTTTTTATTTTTATTAGTTATTTTATGATATTTATTATTGCAAGGCAGAATACTTGATAAACAAGCCATATACAGTGCATTCGGAAAGTATTCAGACCCCTTCCCTTTTTCCACATTTTGTTACGTTACAGCCTTATTCTAAAATGTATGAAACTATTTCTTTTACTCATCAATCTACACACAATACCTCATAATGACAAAGCGAAAACAGCTTTTTAGAAATGTTTGCAAATTTATGAAAAAACAGAAATACCCTTTGCTATGAGACTCGAAATTGAGCTCAGGTGCATCCTGTTTCCATTAATCATCCTTGAGATATCTCTATAACTTGATTGGAGTTCACCTGTGGTAAATTCAATTGATTGGACATGATTTGGAAAGGCACACAACTGTCTATATAAGGTCCCACAGTTGACAGTGCATGTCAGAGCAAAAACCAAGCCATGAGGTCGAAGGAATTATCCGCAGAGCTCCAAGACAGGATTGTGTCGAGGCACAGATCTGGGAAGGGTACCAAACCATTTCTGCAGCATTGAAGGTCTCCAAGAACACAGTGGCCTTCATCATTCTTAAATGGAAGAGGTTTGGAACCACCAAATCAGCATTTAACTGCAGCTAAGATTGCAGCCCAAATAAATGCTTTACAGAGTTCAAGTAACAGACACATCTCAAAATCAACTGTTCAGAGGAGACTGCATGAATCAGGCCTTCATGGTCGAATTGCTGCAAAGAAACCACTACTAAATGACTCCAATAATAAGAAGAGATTTGCTTGGGCCAAGAAACACGAGCAATGGACATTCAACTGGTGGAAATCTGTCCTTTGGTCTGATGAGTCCAAATTGGAGATTTTTGGTTCGAAACGGCGTGTCTTTGTGAGACGCGGTGTGGGTGAACGAATGATATCCGCATGTGTATTTCCCACCGTGAAGCATGGAGGAGGAGGTGTTATGGTGTGGGGGTTCTTTGCTGGTGACACTGTCTGTGATTTACTTAGAATTCAAGGCACACTTAACCAGCATGGCTACCACAGCATTCTGCAGCAATACGCCATCCCATCTGGTTTGTGCTTAGTGGGACTATCATTTGTTTTTCAACAGGACAATGACCCAAAACACACCTCCAGGCTGTGTAAGGTCTATTTGACCAAGGAGAGTGATGGAGTGCTGCATCAGATGACCTGGCTTCGACAATCACCCGACCTCAACCCAATTGAGATGTTTTGGGATGAGTTGGACCGCAGAGTGAAGGGAAAGAAACCAACAAGTGCTCAGCATATGTGGGAAGTCCTTCAAGACTGTTGGAAAAGCATTCCTCATGTAGCTGGTTGAGGGAATGCCAAGCACGTGCAAATCTGTCATCAAGGCAAAGGGTGGCTACTTTGAAGAATCTAAAATCTAAAATACATTTTGATATGCTTAACAATTTTTTGGTTACTACATGATTCCATATGTGTTATTTCATAGTTTTGATGTCTTCACTACTATTCTATAATGTAGAAAATAGTAAAATAAAGAAAAACCCTGGAATGAGAAGTTGTGTCAACTTTTGACTGGTAGTGTATATATTTTCAAATGTGGTTTTAACTGGGTGTGACCTAGTAACCTCTATTTGAAAGTCCAGCAATTGGCATTGGATATGTGGGGGAGGTTTGAGACTGATCTCAGGAATTAATAAGAAAAATGCACTTTATTTCTCAGCTGCCTCACCAATGTCTTTATGTGAATGAATAACTTTAAATTGCTAAATATTTCCAATAGATGGCAGCATAAGACCACGAAGCATCAGTTAATAGGCTACACGCAGCAATATGATTGATATAAAATAGCACGTAACCAAAGACCATATGTCCCATGATTTTCTAAAATGGTCACTCAACACTTTACAGTTAGCTATATATATATATATATATACATACATACAGAGCCTTCAGAAAGTATTCAGACCCCTTGACTTTTTCCAAATTTTGTTTTGTTACAGCCTTGTTCTAAAAGGGATTAAATTACTTTTTTTCCGTAGAACTCCAAGATAGGATTGTGTCGAGGGAGAGATCTGGGGAAGGGTAGCAAAACATTTCTGCAGCATTGAAGGTCCCCAACAACACAGTGGCCTCCATCATTCTTAAATGGAAGTAGTTTGGAACCACCAAGACTCTTCCTAGAGCTAGCCACCTCATGGCTTGTTTTTTGCTCTGACA